ACTAGAGGGGTCACTTATAAACCTGTCCCCGACTGATTTTTTTTTTATATCTATTGTCCAAGAATTATCACAAATAGCACTGGAAAGTCTCTGAGGAAATGTTATTAGTTTTTATCTAAAAAGAAAAAAAAAAAAAAAAACGACAACAAAACAGCTTACACGTTTTGATTTTTCCTTTAGCAAATGTTTTCTTTGCTATTGCTTTTATTTTCTTGTGTAAGCTTATCAGTAACATTACTCGGAATGCGATTTTTTAAAGCTATTGTTAAACTAGTAAAATTTGGGAAAATATTGAAAAGAACGGTTTGGTAATTCGGGAAGACAAAGAAAAAGATGTTCTTAATACAACGTAACAAGTCCTGTAACCTGACCTCCAATAGTCAAATATTCTTTTTATCCAACTAAAAGTTAATCAGAAATATGCAAGTTTTTTTGTTTTTTTTTAAACCAGCGTTAGATAAATTGGCGCTCTTTTAAGCAATTATATATGGTACCTACATTTCACCTGTTAACTGTGGGGTACTGTTGGTCATTTTCACAGCATTAGTACAGGATTTTAAAACACTCCATTTAAATATGTTAAAGATATTATTTCGTTTTTTAATTTTCATGTCTTATTTTGTCTTTTCTGTTTTTTAGGGGAGTTTTTTTTTTTAAAGTTTTATGAAAAATCATATTAAAAGGTCATTATTAAAAAAAAAAAGAATTTCTAAGTTTCAAAAAGTTAAAATATACACAAATATATTTCATTTTATTTTCAGTAAACAAATAAAACTGCTTGTAATTCGCCAAGATGTTCTGACGAAAAGCAAAAACCGGCGCGTACCAAGCCTGATTGGAGGCCCCCCGGGGCAGTTCTTTGTGACTCTCGCTATCAACATTTGTTTTTTTTTTTTTCTACCTACATTTATATACGTTACAAATTAAACTAAGCACAACTAACTATTAAAGGATGAAAAGTTTTCGCGGATTTTTACGTCATTTCGTTGGGGGTTTTTTCCCGTCCAAATCCGCAAATTTGCTAAGTCTCGAAAAGACGCTATATAAAAAAATCACTATTTTTTCATCCATAATGCTGAATGTGTTAAATTATTCAACTTTTTAAGACAACTCTCAAGTTGATTTTAAAAATTGCCGCAAAACATTGATTTAATTAAGATGGAGTAATCTATTATGACATGTCTCTAACTTGCATTTAGATACATTGAATTTCAATTTTTCTAGTTAAATTATTCATCTATATTGCATATGATCCATTATTGTATATAATTCGGTTACAATAAAATTTGTATTTTATAGGAATACTACCTTATGAATATTGAGATGTAGTGTGCCTATTATCATAGATTCCGAGGGTGGGCGCAAGAGACCCTTATACCGCTCATGATTAAAAACAGAAAATCCTTGTAGTTATTTTAAAGAGGTATTCAGAAAACAACTTGACTCATAACTTGCTATATATTAAGGAAAACTATTTTCCCGATTGTTCAAACAAACCGCGGTACTAACAAAGTGTTAATATGTTATCAGGCTTTCAGTTATGGCACTTGCCTTTTTGGGAGCTCAGTCAAGCTATGATGAACTGAACATAGAAGTTCATGAGAAATTTAGTAAAATCTACATAGTGATGAAAAGATAACTCCCAATTTTATGTATAATGCACTTTCCCAACTTAATAGTTAAAGTGGAAAGTTCTTCATACATAAAATAGGGAGTTACTTTTCAATTACCCCCTATATTAAATGCTTTTATTTACATTTGCTATTGGTGTTTCTACCAATTCTACAGTTAAAATTCCTGTAGTATGACGTTCTTTTAATCTGACCAACATTACATCTTATTCACTTTTCCAATTTGTTCGTACTTACAACAATTCATTTTACAGGTACAAATATTATCGTCGGACTTCTTTTTTTTTTTTTTTTTAAACTGACCAACATTTGAAATGAAGAGTTTATTTATATCTACTAAAGGCAAGGAAAACAGTACTTAATGTACCAAACGAGCTTATGTAAATGGATGGTAGAACAGGAATTTGAAGAGATAGCGAAAAGACAGAAGTTACAGGAAATTGTAGAGAGCCATGATCGCCAAAGTCATATAGAAGAAGATTTTATTATGTATCGATACAAATTACAAAATTAGCGAACATTTATTATTAATAGATGAGGCGTGTTGAAACTTTTTTTAAAAATTTATCCTGGTCTTCCCTCTGAGATGGGATATTATAACACAATGTCGGGTTTAACGTGGGGAACCCAAGCAAGTACATACGAGCTAAGGACAAAATTTTCCCAGGGCCCGCAACTGTCGGTTGCGCTGGCATTGGTATGACTATCGACCGCTCTCTTTTATATGCGGATGAAGCCTCGGGCCTGGACCAGGCACCTTGCAGTATTTATTTTCCTCAGCTGCGTCTGTGTCTACGGACAGAGTCACAACTGAGTCGCACTCTGCCCGAAGACAGAGACGCAACTGATGAGCTTTTAGTGTAACCCAACCCCCTGACACCCATGACCTTTAACATTTGATCTGGTTCTGCCTCTGTAGAGGTCAGACAAGACTAGTAAATCGTTTGTGCATATACAATTCCTAGAATCTAATTTTCCTTTGAATTTGATTAAAAAAATAATAACCGATATTTGCAGATACCAGAAAATTCTTCTCTCACCAAATTATGTTTCTGATAAGAAGCAATAGACATTTATGTTGTTAATATGCCAAACTTTGTTTTATTCCAGGATATTGTTAAGAATTACGGTTTATTTTCATAACCTTACCCTGTTGTCATGGATTTTACTTTGATTCTTTTTTTATTTTTATTATTTTGATTCACGCATAGTATTTTAGTTTATCCATATATGGTCCTTAAAAGATATGGTAGGTGTAAGGTGTCAGAAGAATTTAATCAAGTCTTAATGCCTGATCTAACCCTGTGACTCAGATTAGCAGACAGCCATCTTTTTATTGTTGACATTTACTAAATGTAGCCGTAAGTTCTACTCTAATAGTTTCTTCTCTAAAACTTCTCACCTGTAGAATTTCACTTGTTGATTTTCTGTCAGCTTCATTCTACAAAATCTTCCGTCTCCTTGAAACCTGTCCATTCTCCTTAATAACGTTTCCTTCACCTTCAGTAACGCCTTGCATCTTAGAGGCTTTATCACCTTATTTGGAATTGGAATGATAAAAAAAAAAAAAAAATAATGGCTAATATGTCTTGAACTTGATACAGAGGTCAGACCAGAGGACTTGAATGTCAACTAACACAATTTTTCTTTCTTTTTTTTCTTTCTCTTTCGCCCAAATCATAAAGGAGTGTCTAGTAAATGGGATGGTCTACGGAATTTATGGAAGAAATATTTTTGGTTATTTTTTTTAAAACTCTGGAAGTAATTCCATATATGGAATTTTTAAAAAGTTTTTTTTGTTATTTTTTTTAGTAACGGTGTCGCTCCCCAACCAGCAATGAAAGTAATACAACAGATAGGGAATTATTTGAATTTTATATTTAATTTTTGAAGATAATACCAGTTATGGTATTTTTTTTTTTAATTTTTAATTTTGATTTCAGGCAAGTTCAGTGGTTTTTCTCTATTTTTTAAATGCTTTTTTTTTTCCATTTTATGAACACCACGATCTTTGCTGCCCACCCTCCCTTACAAAAAATAAAGACAAATTAAACTAAAAAAAAAAAAAAAAAAAATATTGAAATTATTTTACTCTTACTTTTAATTTAAAAAAAAATATACTCAAAGTCGTTTTTGATTTTTTTTTTTACAAATATGTCAACTTACGAAATTGAAGGACTTATATCATTTACATGCTTTCGTTTCAGTTATGTCTTTATCTTCTGTTATTTTTAATACGACGTTTTCCGTCAATATTTCCTCATGTCTTCCTCAATTGTTTTGTAGTATCGGGTTGGCCAAAAAGTACCGTTCGGTTTATTGAATTTGTCTACTTAATAAACGAACGAACTTTTTGGCCAACCGATTAAATGAAAAGAGATTGTATATTGTCCAGAACATCATGTTAAAAAAAAAAAAAGCAACAAAGACGAAGCCAATAGTCCGAAAAATAGATGGGTTAATGAAGTTTCCTTATCTTAGAATTAAATAATTTAATTCTAATGCAATAGTTACAAGTGAAGTGATCTTCTTCAAACATTTTAATTAAAATGAAAAGAAAAATTTAAATCACAAAATATAGTTAAAAAACAAAAACTTAAATCTAAGGGAGATAATTCAGTGGAGTGCTAATATTTTCTGACGAAAAGGGGATTATGCTTGTGCTTGCTTATTTTTGACTAGATTAGATTTAAACCTTTTATTTTATGGGATGTTATTTAATTTCTATTTTTTTTTAAATAAATTAATTAAATAACATGTACATTCTTGAAAATTAAATCGAGTATTCCATTATGGTTTTTAAAATTAATAAATTTCTTGGCATGTAGAATGTAATATTTTTAACAGGAGGTAATACTAAGTTTTTCAATACTGCTGAGGCAAGAACAATTCATTTTCAGAAAGAAAATAAAAGTAGCAATAATAAGAAATTGTCATACAAATAAAATAACTGACTCCAGGTAAAACCAGAGCAAACATATTTGCTTAAAGTTTTTGTTGACTGTTTTTTTTTTTTTTTTTTTTATAATGATAAAAAAAAATGAAAAAGAAAAAAAAAGCTGTTTTTAGATCATCCACTGTTAGGTTGAAAAAAAACAAAAAAACATGCTGTTGATTTTTTTCGGTTTTTTTTTTTTCGGTTTTTAGTTTAAAGATGGGATTAAAAACAAATGTTTAGATCACGTCATTAAACCGATGCATTGCACACCTCTTTTGAAAAAGTGATTTCCCTCAACTTTGCATAAGTCAGTCAAAGACAATTACTTAAAGTTAGGGAGGTAAAGAAAAAAAACAAAAAAAATGTCTTTTCTCTTTTGTTTTTCTTTTTTTTTTTCACAGAATTAAAACATTCTACCTGCTGCTTCGACCTCATACATACTCTTCATCAGATTTTGCCCCAACATTTGTTACATCCTCCTCCTGCGTCTTTGGACTATATTCACTATCTGGCAATAAAGCAATGTCTTTAAAAACGCCAACTAGTTTTTCAAAATTTGGCCCCCATGTAAGCAAATAGTCCAGGTCGAATGAGCCAACTGTGCCACGGTTCTTCGACTTATCCTCATCGGAGGACACTAGTGTGCTGTAAGACTCTCCGGCAGAGTCCAACCCGTCATAATCAAACGTTCTGTTATCGACAGGGCTGTCGTCTTCGTCATTTTCATTCTCTACCTCTGTCAACTTGGAGTAGATCATGGCGCCCGGCTCAAAATCGTTACGTGCACGCTCATTATCGTACTCAAATTCGGAGCAGGTGAATGAGTCGTTGGCGCTTTCGTTTGAGCTTGTGTCTTGAGCGTCGAGAATGCTGCATGTATTCGGCTTGTTGAGCCTACCCCGCAAATGCGGGTTATCTTCACTGGACGTCACTGCTTCCAGCATGCTCTCTGGGTTGGTGGAGACAGGACGGGCATTCAGCCGGTTCACTTCGTCAACCGTCAACCCCTTGAGGTTTGCTGCGGCACCCCCTCTTGGGGCTGGTTGCGGCTTTGGTGCTTTCTGTTTGGACTTGCCTGGCTTGCCCATACAATTCTCTGCGGATGCAGAATGTTGGCTCCAATGGGTGTTTGAATTTTGTACCATGAGGCTGGGACTCTGACGTGTTGCCAGATTCATTGGACCCGCTTGCGGACCCGGAGGAGCTGGACTACTGCGAGCTAAGTTACTCAGATGCATTGGACTGCTACGTGCAGGCACTGATAACGGCCCGTTGTAGTTCAACATATTTGCTGCAGGGCTATTCGAAGACCAGGGAGAAGAACAGTGGTCCTGGTTCATCAAGTAGGGACTATTTCGCTGGCGGTGAACCGGAACATTAGGTCCAGGTTTATATTTGTTCACTTTGCCATCCCTGAAGCCCTTGTAGTGGGTTACAATGTCTATGTCTGAGGGTGCTATACTGCTTGCATTTTCCAGATCATAGTGTTCGGGTACATCTTCGTTCATGTGGTTACCCTGGGAGTGATCTCCATTTTCTATGATCACAGTGCCATCTTCCATCTCCAAGGGTATAACAGAGCGACTCTCAGATTCTATAATATCCGGTTTAGGCATGCAACTGCTTTCGTGCGCTTTCTGAGCAAGTTCACCTAAAATATGGTTCCGAATGATTATCTCGTCAGGAAGGACATTACAGTCTTCATACTCAGCCTCACTATAGTTTGGTCCAACCACACCTTGGCTGCCATTTTTTATTGTACCGTTGTTACGAGTTTGTTTGCAGAGGGATCCCAGCACACTTTTCTTTTTACCCCGCTTGTTTTTTTGCCTCCAGATGAGGATGCAGACGATGACCAGCACGATAATGATGACCAACAAAGGGACAACAATCATGATTACGAGTTTAGAGCCCGAGGTCAGGGCACTGCTTGGAACACATCGGTAACCATTGGCCAGTTCTTCACAAATCATGTCACTTGAACATGGACTGGTCACACATACACTTGGACAAGCAGAACTAACGTTTCCAACGATCTTAACATCAAATCGGTCAGTTGAACCTCCGAATGGTAATTTTTTGCCGTCGAGTTCAAAATTTTCCAGGCAACCATCAAAACCTGAAATAAAAGGAGAAAAAAAAATTAATTGGATAAATGGTTGACATCAAAAAAGCTACGGTTACTGGTTTTACATTTTGGTGAACATTTCTACATTCATTGTTTTTCTTCGGCTATCACATCAAGTAATCAATAATAAAAAAAAAAAAAAAAAACTCTGTATAAATGCGGATTTGTAAGATAGGAACTCACTATTTAGGGAAAAAAATTCTGTTCAGCTCGGAAAGGTAATAACTTAAAATTTAAGATAATAACTTAAAATTTTGTTGTATAGGACTCACTCTGTTTTTTATAACGATGTTCACGCCGTACAAGTCACAAGAGCCACTCAAAGTAGAAGGTTAGAGAGTAAGAGACATCACTCCAAACAAGGTGTTAATGCCACCAAGACGAAAGGAGCTACCGGAATTGAAAGAGAATGAAAATACTTTAGAAGGAACCGTAAGCCCTATCATAAACAGGAAACAAGGAATAGGCGTCTATTCCTGTTCATAAGACCAGGGAGGAGTGTAAACCGGACGACAGGCGAACCTATCTATTTCTATTGAGAAATAGTAAATAAATAGTAAATAAAAGATCAGAGTTTTAGGTGGAAACGTTAGAAGTATTGAGTTGAAGTATACTTTAGAATGAACTGGAAACAAGGGATAAACATCTACACCTGTTCAAAAGACCGGGAAGGTATGTGAACCGGGTTATAGGCGAACGTATCTACTCCTATTGATTAAAAAAAAGGTAAATAAATAGTAAATAAAAGTTCAGAGTTTTAGGTTAGAAGTATAGAGTTGAAGTAGACTTTAGAAGGAACCGGAAAGCCAATCCTAAACTGAAAACAAGGAATAAATCTCTACACCTGTTCTAAAGACCGTGGAGGTGTGTTAAGCGGACGATAGGTGAACGTATTTGCTCCTATTGATTAAAAAATGTAAATAAATAGTAAATAAAAGTTCAGAGTTTAAGGTGGAGACGTTAGAAGTATAGAGTTGAAGTAGACTTTAGAAGTAATACGAAAATAGAGTTTGCATTCAGTGTTATACAGATGCATTAGACCAATGGTTTTCAACGTTTTTGCTGGAGCGGAACCACAAGAAAACATTCCAGTGGCTCGAGGAATTCCTGCAATAAAAATTACTGTCAATCATAGTACTTGTGGAACTTCTTGTGGAAACCCTGGGCTTTACTGGCAGAACTCTAGGGTTCCGCGAAACCCTGGTTGAAAACCACTGCATTAGAGAAATGAAACGCATCAGCATATTGGTAACGGCCTAGCTACCAAGTGGAGATCCACTTCTCACGGAGATGTCTCAGAAAAGTAAACAGGTCGATATTTTGAACAGGAGTAGAGGTTTATCTATTCTTTCCCGTTTAGGATTGTGTTTCCAGTTCCTTCTAAAGTCTTTTCATTTTCTTACACTTGCTTGGAGTTAACTGATTTAATAAAAAAAAAGAAAAAGAAGGTCGTTGCTTGGACGTGTACATGCAGAGAAGCTGATAACATAAGGATATATAGGCACCCACCTGAGAGGAGAGAAGAAGAGAATCTCCATTTGAGAATATACAATTCACATTTAGAGGTAGTCCTAAAGGTACGCACTCCTACTTACCTGAGATTAAAACGCTTCTATCTGAAATCGTATTTTTAAAAAAAATATGGCCCGTAGCGTGTTCTCTCTATATTACCACTTAAGTTTTACACAAAACTCTTCATTTTAACCCGAGAAAATTGGATATAGTATGTAAACACAGGTTTCTGTCATGTTATGATAAACCTTAACTTTGAAGTCAAACATTTCTGTGCCATTTTATATAAATATTTTAAAGGTCATTTTTAGGATGAACTTTCTCCTATGGTACTTAGATTTTATCAATTTAAACGCACTACCAGATTATCAGCAATGTCTCATCATTTTACAGTTGAAATGGTTAGACTTGACAGTGACTTCTCTCGCACTTCTCACTTGTGGAACTCTCTTCTGACTTTTTGCTTTCCAGTCAGTTTTGATCTTCAAAAGTTTAAATACAATGTCAATCGTTATCTTCTTAATTCCTGTTCTTTTATCGTTCTCTTTCTTTAATAATTTTTTTTCTCTCATATACTCGCACACTTTATAGCCTTTTGCACCTTAGTGGCTTTATTGCTTTCTTTGGTATGAAATGATTAAAAAAAATATCTCAAAACTACAAAAAATTTAGATAAGGCGTTTTTAATTTCGGTTGAGGAGTCATTGACAAAGTCTGGATTTGAAATTTAAAAAAAAAATGGTTTTATGCATGACGGATTGAATTTTCGGTTTTTATTAGACTGAATAATTATAACGTTCTTCTTTTTTAATGTGACCTCAGGACGTTGGCGATCATGGCTTTCTACAATTTTAAATTGTTTGTAGCTTTTAGTAATGTTTGTCTTTTTTTACTATCGCTTCTGCCGTTCATTTATACAAAGTCGTCAAATAGGCTGCATGTTCTTGACCCATTTTCCTTGAATATGTCATGTGAGTTTCAAATATTCCAAGCTGACTTTCCCCATCATGGGCTCTAGAAATTATATCTCTTTGAGAGTCTGGGTATTCTTTCTATTTTCCTTTAAATTTTCTTCTTGCATACATGATCCAGGAGGATTGATATTTCATAACAGTTCAGTACTCATGTCTTTTACATTTTTTTTTTATAATCTCACCTCAGTAGCATCTAATCTATAACATTCACATCTAACATTATAGGTTTATGAATATATAGATTTTTATTGTATGGCCGTATTCATATTCCTTTATAAAAGAACATGAATTTTGTTTTTGCCTTCATATAATATAAACGGTGATCCAATAACTTGGACCGATTTAAATGTGAATTAAATTTAAGCATCTAATGTTTTTTTTTCTTTTTCTTTCAGATTTAACAACTTAAGTCATTGGCAATTTCAACCATAGAAAGATTAACAATCAATTGTTAATCTTTACATGGCTGAAATTGCTAAAGACTTAAGTTGGTAAATCTGAAAGGAAAAGAAAAAAAATCATTAGACGCTTAAACTTAATTCACATTTAAAATCGGTTCAAGTTATTGGAACAGCCTTTGTTATAAGAGGCAGAATATTATTCCATGTTCTTTTATGGTCGTATCGTATGTTTTTATCATATTTATTAGGTTATTTATTGGAAAATGAAATTAACAGTTTATTGAAACAAAATAAAACATCATAGAAATTATTTATCCAATCAAAATATTCTTGTTTGGCTTCAAATTATTTATTACATTGTGTCAGCAAATAATCTCCCCTCTACCGAAAGAGTTCTTCATTCAAACAATCAATAAATTTATTGGGAGCTTCTTCAATCTGATCCTGGTTGAGGTAATGCCTATAAAAATAGTAACCAAGGAAAAAAAAAAAACGAACAAAAATATGAAGTTACAATATATTATCTGTTTTCGTCCGATTCAATTTGTGACAATTACTCTCATCCTGTCGCAGACCTCATTATTTCAGAATGAGCTTAATAAGTTACTCGGGCATAACAAGCAAACCCAAGTATAGATTCGGGCAAGAAATAAAATCATTTCGTATGATTTGTGAAACGGGGACTATTTCCTCTTTTGCACATGTAGTTAAGTCATTAACCTCAAGATCGTTTTGGAAAACATAAATTCAGTTTGGTTTGGTTTATTTAATAGCATATCAACCCCTTATGGAGGAGGTAATGTCGAAATTTTATTTCTTGGAAGTTTTCATAATTCATTTTTTTTTTTTCCAAAAATGTATTGCTGCAATTTTTTTGTATGAAAATGTATTACAGTGTAACCCGGATATAAGAGAGTTGTCGGGACCGGATATGAAGTCTCTTATATCCGGGTTTCTCTTATATCCGGGTTTGGTCTATTTTATATACATTAACACAGGCTCTAATTTGGGACCAGAGAAAATCTCTCTTATATCCGGTTTTCTTATATCCGGGTTACACTGTACTAATATTTTAACTAAAAAAATGTATCTTTATATTTTCATTTTGTTTTAACCCCAGTTTAGGTGTTCACTATTTACCAATAACTGGGACCCTAACAGGTGCTACCACTCCAAGTCAGGGTGAACCTGGGAACAACAGCAATTAAGAGGTGGTTCCACGCTCCTCAAAACCTACTGATCAGAGGTCTTGTTGCTAGATGTTTTTTCGTTTTTTTTTATTGTCATACACAGGACGGATATTCAAGTACTGCAACCATACTAATCACTTCTAAGAGAAGTTAACATCATAAAAAATTTACACCCAAGTAATTCTTTAAAGAAACTCAATTAAAAACTACAAAAATTACCTTCATCTGAACTTACATTTAATTTATAGTATCTATTATTAGTATTTGCAAATAAAGGGAGATAACTCTCCAATTAGCCAAACTCCAACTACATTTAAAATTTAAAGATGTATTTGTACTTTCACCTATCCCTAATCAGCAGAGGTCTAGCGTAAAATGATTTTAATATATTCAGAATTAAGTGAATGTAACAAGCCTGACTGGAATTTGAACCAGTCCAGTTGAAAATCTATTTTTCAAGCACCTGAATTTTTCCTTGAGCAAAATATTAAAATTAAATTTGATATCAAAATAAAAAAAATTATATTTCAGATTTAAAAAAAAAAAAGAAATGTAAAAGAATCTTGAAGAATCATCTTTGAGTAATGATTATAGAGACAGCTATTACCTGGAATATTTTCTCCGTCAATAGAGAGAGAAAATTTTGTGTTTGCCAAAAACAAAACTTCAACCTCTGGAGCAGACAGAAATAAAGGTTTGTTAATGGATTCTTGTCGCTTGGAATTGTCTCCTTCAAGAGTCACACTGTTACCTGTAAAAGACAATGAAATCAGTTTCATCTAAGCTCATATATGAATATGTTCATGACAAAAAAAGGTGTAATATAATAGAAAATATATGTCATGGTTGTCAGAAAAAATGCACAGACTTCAAAGGAGCATTTCTAAATTAATTTAAAAAATGCACCCTACATGTAAAAAATGTCTTTACTGACACTCAAAGGCAAAGACACACGAGATGAATAGTGACTGTATCAATTATATCTTATGTTCAAAAATACACATAACATAAGAGGCAAATTATTTTATGAGATGTATAATGACTGCATCTTACTTTCTAGTAATGCACCTGGGTGCAGAAAAGGCTTTTTTTAGGCATTCAGAGGCGAATCATCTTATGAGATGTATAATGACTGCATTTTACTTTCTAGTAATGCACCTGGGTGCAGAAAAGGCTATTTTTAGGCATTCAGAGGCGAATCATCTTATGAGATGTATAATGACTGCATTTTACTTTCTAGTAATGCACCTGGGTGCAGAAAAGGCTTTTTTTAGGTATTCAGAGGCGAATCATCTTAAGAGATGTATAATGACTGCATTTAACTTTCTAGTAATGCACCTGGGTGCAGAAAAGGCTTTTTTTAGGCATTCAGAGGCGAATCATCTTATGAGATGTATAATGACTGCATTTTACTTTTAAGTAATGCACCTGGGTGCACAAAAAAACCTTTACAACAGCTAAGAGGAAAAACCTTATGGGATGAATAAGGATTATATCAGGTTTATATTTCTTTCAATAATACACACAGCATGTAAAAAATAAATCATTTTCAAACACATGAAATGAACAGTTAATGTATCAGTTCTACATTATTTCCAAAAATACACTTACCATATAAAAACAAGTTTTTATAGACATTCAGAAGTAAACACTTATATGAATAACTAGCCAAATTACTCATGCCATGCTGCATGTCATATATTTTTTGTAAGAAAATGATGATTGGTTTTAAATCATTGTTATAATTTTTGAAGAAAAATGATGCATTTCAATATTACTCAATTATCTTGCCAATGTGACCTCCATCTTCTGGCTTGCTTTCTCCTTCTATATCTTGGATAAGAGTCATTCCCTCGTTCAAATTTAAATTTAATTTAAATCAAAGAGAAAAGAAGTTTCAGTGGGGGGGGGTTAAAACAGCTTGATCCGTGTCCTTTGATATGTATTTGATGCAATACTTGATTGAATGAATTGATGAGCAGATTTCAACATTGATGTGACAGTTGACTTATCACAACAAATATATATTGTAAGGCACTACTCACTGATTGATGATTTCTTGTTCAATTTATTGTCGATGTTGTCTCATTTCCATCTTGATGATGCAACCTCCATTTTCTGGCTTTCTCCTTCCATATTTTTGATAGGAGTCATTCACTTGTTCAAATTTAAATTTAATTTAAATCAAAGGGGAAAAAAAATAATGACTGCATCTAACCTTCAAATAATACACCCAGTGCATAAAAAAGTCTTCTCAGGCATTCAAAGGTAAAACTCTTTTATGTGACAAATAATGTATCTCACCTTCAAATAATACACCCAGTGTGTACCAAAAACCATTGGAGACATTGAGAGGCAATGTTACTATGGATTCCTTCCTACCAGATTTCTGTCCTGCGACAAACACTGGTTGTTGTCCTTTAATCTAAAGAAGAATAAGAAAACAACATCAAAATATGGACAACAAAAGTCAATCAAAAATTATCTTTTTTATTCTCTTACAAAACACAGAGAAAGTGTTGGATTTAACCAGGAAGCAAAATAAACAGCTGGTCAATGTAATAGGGTGAGAAAATCAGTTGACCTCCTATTTATCATACCAGGTCTAAAATCATTCACTGTCCATGTCATACCAATTCCTTTCTTATGGTACTAACCTACCAAGTTTAACTTTAGTTCATCTTTTTTAAAACATTCAACCATATTTTCTCAGAGGTAACACTTTTAAGAGTTAGAATGCGTCATTTATGTACCACATGCCATATCACTTCTATGTAGTCAAAACACCATCACATCCAAAATTTCAAATGTAGGAAGAATGTTTCAGTCAGGTGTTTTCGCCCCACCAAGAATGGCCACTTTGTAGAACACAGGTGCTTCCCATAAACATAAAATCTAAAACTCTTCAATTTAAGAGTTTATCTCTATCCATCTTTTCTACATAATATTCAATTTTATTGCATTTTCTTATATATATCTGCAATGTTATTGATCCTGACCTGCTATCTTGGCATCAGTCATTTTTCCACCACCATAATGTAGCTTCCCTGTGCCTCTTATATAAATATTTTATGATAATTGTTTAAATGAAATTTCCTCTCTGGTACTTAGACTTTATTAATTTAAGTACCATTCTAGATTGGTGGCAAGGTTTCATCTATCAAATGGTTAGATGTAACCATAAGTCCTATGCTAATAGTTTCTTCTGTCACACTTCTTGCATGTGGAACTCTCTTCTAGCTCTTTGCTTCCTATTTAACTTTAACTTTTACAAATTTAAATGTAATGTAAATCGTTATCAACTGTTCTCATAATTCATTATTATTCTTTCTCCTTAATAGCTATTTCTCATACTCACTAACACTGAGTAACCCCCCCTTGCATCTTAGTGGCTTTATTGCCTTGCTTGAGTTGAAATGATTAAAAATTATATATAATAAATTCACTTTTTTCAAGAAAAAGAATAATCACAGACAATTAAAACAAATCAAAAGGTTTTAATGATACCACTACTACTACTACTACTACTAATAATAATAATAATAATGCTTGTTAACTAGAAATTACACATACTAAAAACTGTGTCGACCCCAAATGCAGATTCTGTAACAGATATTCAGAAACATTAGACCCCACCCCCTTGCATCAGTTTGCACAGTGTTAAAAGCAAATGAACATAAAACTCAGCATGATAGAGTGGGTCAATATCTGCACTGAAAAATATGCTACTTTTACGTGAAAGGAAACTGCAATAAACTGGTATAAACATCACCCAGACCCAGTTACAGAGATAGGATCAGTAACAATTTTATGGGACTTTACAATACACACAGACAGAACACTGAAACCTCATCGTCCAGACATTGTGATCAAAGACCACAAGAACAGTATGCACTTTTTATTGACATGGCAGTCCCTTTGGATTGTAATGTATAATACTAGGATCTTTAAATGGAAATCTCAAAAGTGTGGCACATGAGGACATCAAAAATTTCAGTTGTAATTGGAGCCCTCTGATTGATTGGAAAAAGTCTCATTGAAGGGATTCCTGGTAGCCCATGCCTTAAAGAAATACAAAACCTTCTACTCACATGTACAGGTAACACATTATGAAGAGGTTTATCTATGTAAAAAAAAGTGTGATCTTAAGTTTTTGTTTTGTTTTTTAGGGTTTTTTTTATTTTCCTACAAAAATGATCAGTGGAAAATGTCATGAAGCCATTTCTGACCTTAGGTCTCTGGTTGGGAGACAGAAGGAAATGTGTATATAAACAGAAATCAAAGGAATTAATAATAATAATAATAGTCAAAATAGAGGAAAACCAAACTCTAAATTATATAGTTTATTTTTTTTCTTATTAAAAAAATGATTTGAGAAAATCTTTTTATTTTCACGATGACCGAGTTTTATTTTATCTTAAGTTTAGATAAATGAAAATAAAAATATTTCTGTTGAAATAAAATGCTTCCTTCATAATTTCACTTATCAAAAATAGATATTAGCCTCAGAAAATCAGGAAAATATGGAAATCTTCAACAAGCTTTGATAACACTTAAATCTTACAATCTACAGGAAAGGCTGGGAGCAAAGGTCACTTCCTGTTTTTGTTTTTGTTTTTTTTTTTAAACTTTTCAAGCACATATTTAAATATAGGATGATATTAGTCTAAAAGTAATATTTTTAAAATCAAGTGACTTGGAAAGAGAAATTGTTGAGCCAAGTTTGGCTCATGACCAACTTCATGATATTAACTCTTGCATAGATACCCTTCATCTCCCCTGCATACTGCAATGGGTTAATTAGTAGGGCTAACAGGGTGTTCTCGTCATGAGATGGGAACCTGTGTAGGAAAACTCTGAATTCAAAACCAGCTTGAAAAGGGATAAACTTGATCATGTTACCTTGTTATAGATACACCACTACTGCTATGGCAGCAGCACATGGGGTGTCACTTTAACTCTGACAGATTACTAGAATGTCTGGCTTGTGACTATGGAAAGCTAAAACTATAAGAAATATGTTCCAATAAATAGTGTTACTTTTAACCTATTCTTTATTATTCTCATATTTTTCACAGTGGCATTCATCCTGTACAGGGATCGAGAGCCACTCGAGATAGAGGGTTACAGAGTAAGTGTCACAGCTTATGCAGATATATGTTGAAGATAACTGTTAACCCTAAACTTGAACAAGTTGAAATTGTTGTGATCGGGGAAGCAACCTCTTGGGAGTCTACTTGAAGTCTAGATTGAGTCCTAATAGACACTCATGGTATGCAGACTCCCTGAGGGAACATCTGTACATCACGATCGGTGTATGAAAGTTTTTAGATGTCTTTCTAGGGTTACTGCCAAGAAAAATGTCGAAGGAAAGGAATAAAAAATGGTTTTGAAACTGCAGATGTAAAATGTCTTAAAATTCTGCCAGATCAACAAGGCAAACAGACAGAAATTTTAACTCATTTATTCTTTGGGTTGACTCAGGAAACCTCATTTTTAAAACAGGAAATGGTACAGGAGAAAATAGCAAGAAAATGATAAAAGAAAATAGAAAATTGTAAAAAGAAAATAGAGAATGATAAAAAAGAAAAAAGAAAATGATGAAAAAGAAAACAGATAATGATATTGAGACAAATAGCAAGAAAACAATGAAACAATAGAAGAAAATGATAACAAAATAAAGAAAATGATGAAAAAGATAGAAAATGGTGAAAAAATAGAAAATGACAAAAATGATAAAAAAAGATAATGATAAAAAGAAAGAAAATGATAAAACGAATATAGAAAAAGAAAGGAGAAAGTAATAAAAAGATTATAGGAAATGATAAAAAGAATATAGAACATAACAAAATGATAAAGAGAAAATGTTAAAAAGAAAAGTGAAAATCATGAAAAGATTATAGAAAATAACAAATTGACAAAAAGAAGAAAATGATAAAAAGAAGAGAAAATCATAAAAAGATTATAGTAATATAATAAAATGATAAAAAGAAGAAAATGACAAAAAAGAGAAAATGATAAAAAGAAGAGAAAATCATAAAAAAGATTATAGAAAATAACAAAATGACAAAAAGAAGAAAATGTTAAGAAAAAAGAAAATGATAAAAAGAAAAGGGAAAATCATAAAAAGATTATAGAAAATAACAAAATGATAAAAAGAAAAGAGAAAATCATAAAAGGAAATGGTAAAAAGAATATAGAAATTAATATTAAGGCAAATAGAAAATGTATGAATTATAAGCTGAGTTTTTGTTGGATGTATCACTGTCCATTTCTCACTCTCCTCACTGCAGGGTTGATCTGTACAAATAAAGAGTATTCCCTTTTCTTTTTCCCCATCAGTCTTAATTTTGGTTTCTCCTTGACCAAATGCCATGAGGGTAAAACTTTGAATTTGATCTCTCATTTTAATTAGATCTCACACTAATCAGAAGCAATAGTCAACAAAATAAAACTCTCAGTATCACTATATGAAAGAGAAAAAAAAAAATCTACTTACTGCAAGCATGCTGAATTTATTCTTGCTTGATGCATACCACAAAAGTCCAGAGTCTTTCTGGGTTCGGAATCGGAGGCTCACATAATTCTGACCACTCTGAAGACTTCTCTTTTGACGACTCACTGACTTTTCTTGAAGAACATTATTCCTATGATAAGTTTCGCGTCTGATAAATTCCAAATGTGCTCCTCCAGCAAAAGAGAATGGTTTCCATTCTAAAAAAATAAAATAACATTAATAACAACATGAAATTACTAAGCAAAATAACAAATAAATAATAAAATATATATGAGATAATGATATACATATTTATATATCAAGAACAGTATTGATGGAATTGCAAGACAAAATTTGTCTTACAATTTAATAAAAATATATATATATATATATATATATATATATATATATATATATATATATTGTTGTAAGCTAGAAAAGGTTACTGAATAAAAATAACCAAAATGATGGTTGGAAATGGAACAGTTATCCTTATAAAATTAACAAGATACAAGATTTGCGAGTGGTGTGTAATAAGTAATCTACTGCTAGTCATAAATCCCCCAGACAGTATATTCCACTGTTTTTATGAGAATTGGTACATACCCATTATAGTCCATATGTACAGCATGACACACACACACACATATATATATATATATATATATATATATATATATACAGAGAAACCCGGATATAAGAGAGATTTTCTCTGGACCCAAATTAGAGCCCATACTTACCTAAACAAAATAGACCAAACCCGGATATAAGTGACTTCTTATCCGGTCCTGACAACTCTCTTATATCCGGGTTACACTGTATATATATATATATATATATATATATATCAATTATGTGCCATGCGCGATACATGTTTAGGCAATCATGTTTCTTTTGATATATGACTGATGAGGCAGATTTTTTTTCCTGCACTATGTTGCCATTTCTTTCTGCAGTATACCTGTTGCCATCCAAAGCTATAGAACACAGTCTATCCTGCTATTTACCCATAGCTGCATGAAGAAGAGGAGGATTCATACCTTTCCCAAGGATATTAGCATGTAAGTGAACGTAATGGATTCGAATGGAATTGAACTCGGGCTCTCCAGTTCCTTAATCTGAGATTGTAATCTAATATATATATATATATATATATATATATATATATATATATATATATATATATATATATTAATATTAATATTTTTATTATAATAGATTACATAGATTACATTACATACATATAATAGATTTTACATCGCTACACAAATAGTTTCATGTTTCAGGACTTAGACTGTACTTATTCAGGCCATGGTGAAAGTGGACATTGAAGTCAACACCCAGTTTCATGCCTATTCATGGTCTGATGATTGCATGAAACAGACCAAATCCACTTGTTGCTGACACGGATGTCTACACTTCTTACATTCACACATACTTTTTCTAAGATATTGATTACTTTTACCCTATAAAAATAGCAACCCTTAAAACTATATTTTATATTATTTGGTCCTAAGCACTTTGGCATATATACAATCCACCGATAAAGACAATGGAAAAATGGTCAGTTTCATGCCATGCCCTGTCTTTAAAAGAATCAGATCAGACCAAATATGGAATATTGCTGCCACATTCTTGCTGTTTTCCACCTATACAATGCCTTTCCCACAGACAAATCATCTCTAGTCTCTCACTGCTTTCAGTATTCCACTAGTCCAGATATTCAGGTCTTGGATCTCCCACACTACATAGAGTCAACCCATTATCATTTCCTTCATGTTGTAGTGAGGAGGAAGTTCAACTTAGACAGCTTCTTTTCCCAGAGCTGTTGCATTATGAGATTGACTCCTGAGAGGATGCTTCTCCAATAACTACAAGCTTAATCTCTTTAAAACGAGAGCTGATGGTTATTTCAGCTAACTTTTAAATAAGGCACTGACTATTGTTTAAATCATCTGGCAATAATTGTAAGTAAAATGAGGCACCAATATGTGTAACCAAGTAATCATTTTTAAGTTCTCTGAATATCGGTGTCAAAAAAAAAAATGATTGGATTTTACAAAACATTTTAAAATATATTTATGGGAAATTGTTCTAATAACCATCCTTTTTAACTATTTTTTAAGCAACTCAGATAGCGTCCTCCCCCAGAGCTGTTTCATTATGTGATGAACTCCCGAGAGGGTGCTTCTCCAATCCCTACAATCTTAATCTCTTTAAAATGAGAATCAGGGGTTATTTTACATCACATAATGCACACATTTTACTGTATGCCTTTACAACAATTTAGTAAGCCTCTTCATTGAATATGCAGCCCTTATTTCTAGTAACTGCTTTACAGAGAATGATTACTTTGCTATGTATGCAAATATAAACTGTCCCATTTGGCAATAATATGAGTGACAACTGACTATAAAATGATGCTGTTGATTATTTTCAGCTAATTTGTTTAAATAATGTACTGACCATTGTTTAAGTCACATGGCAATAATTGTAAATAAAATGAGGCACTAACATGGGTAACCAAGTGATCATTTTTAAGTTCTCTGAATATTGGTGCCAAAAATAAAGATTGTATTTTACAAAACAGTTTAAAATATATTTACAGGAAATTGCTTTAATAACCATTCTTTAAGCTTTCTTGATTGAATCATTTTCTAAAGTTTATGAACACTTTGCAGGTTATTTAAAATTTTGTTTTTTAAAGATAATAATGGTATGAGACAAGTCTTACTAATTAACCCATGGCTGGAGGAGAAGAGGTAGATTCATACATTTCCCAAGGGTATTTGCACTTAATTGAATATAATGAACCCAATGGTCTCCGATTAACAATTCTGAGTTCCTTATTTATTACACTCTCCACACATCAAAGCTTCCAGCTCCTGATATTTCCCAGTAGTCACCCATCTAGGTACTGATCAGGCTTGTCATTGCTGAACTTTGGTAATCAAACAGGAACTGGTATTTCCACACGATGTTAGTCCAATCTTGCTTTTTTAATCATAGCCTGTGTTAATTTGGAAAAGTTTTATTTATGATTCAACAAAACATAATATCTTACCTTTTTCACACTGGGCGCCCATAAATTTATCTGGGCAGATGCAGTGAAAAGTGCTCCATTTATCTTGACATGTTCCTCCGTTTTCACATGGATTGGAGCTGCAAGGTCCTTTTTCATCATTACGGACACACTTTTGGCTAACAGTGCGAGAAGCCAATGGCTGTAGTCGGATCATGTCTACACCGTTCACAATAAAACTCCGCATACAACCAATAAAATCATGTGAACTGACTTGGTTAACTTGAATGACATCAATATTTGGAATACCACCGAGGTACAAGTGGCCACCATAAAGTCGCAAACTCCTTCAGAAAAAGAAAAAGAAAAAAAGACATTTAAATTTTAAAATTATTCCTTTTAATGAATTTGCATTTGAGACTTAGAAACATTTTGGCTTCTGTCTCATAGTTTATTCTTCCATGTCAGCTACTAAACCGTTTTGACATTTTCTTAAATTGTTGATCAATTTCAAATAAAATAGCCTGAATTTAATGTTGTCCTGGAGACAATAAAACATTAGCTTGTGATGGCTGTTTAGCCTTTTTTTTCTTTTTCTGTGTGGGAAGATAAAATTTGTTTTTATTAAAATTCTATTATTTTTATTCTAAATGTGACTTGGCATGTCATTGTAACTGAATATTAGCTTAGTTTTTTAAACTAAAATCATGGCTCAAATTTCTGCTGAATCAAAGATGAAGTTTTGGGAATTGAAATGGAAGATGGCTCAACAAGAGATAGCCAGGTGGCATGAAATTTCCAGAAACATTGTTCAAACTATGCAAAAAAAAGTGATGCTTTCTTATTTCTTAGTTTTTTAACTGCTTTCCTCATCAGTTGGTGAATTATTTTTTATGTTTGTTTTTGTTTATGTTTTTATTCATTTTTTATGGTTTATCAACCTGTTGTAGGTTACTTAAAGCCAGAAAATATTTCTTTAGATTGTAAGAATACTTTTTGAGAAAATAATGATTTTAGTGATACAAGTCATACTAATTAACCCATAGCTGGGAGGAACAAGAGGGGGGGATTCATATCTTTTCCAAGGCTATATGCTTGTAAGTGAATATACCAAACCCAATAGGAATTGGAACTCAGCTTTCTGATTAACAATTCCAAACCATTATCCATTACATCTTGCGCACATCTAAGTTTACAGCACTTGGTATTCTCAAACAGTTACCTATCATGTTGCTTAACTTCGGTGATTGTTGGGAAACTGATGGTTGAATGTGATATAACCGTAAGCTTTTCATAAATGAAGGTGTACAAAACAAAACAACAAAAAATTAAGTGTGTCTTTTTAAGTTGGGGAATGAAACCAAAATAAAAAAATATTGTAATGTATATATATATATTATTTATCTCTAAATGGGAAAAAATTAAGCTCAAATTGTAAGAACTAATTTTACGTTAATAAATGAAGTAAGAAAATTATATCAACTTTTAGTTAAAATTTTATTTTGGAGAGTCCTTGTTGTGAGGTAACAGTTAATGAGGATCGTCTGATTGACAATCACAACTGAGTACTGATTTTGATTCTCACTGTGTGCACCATACAAAAAATTCCACATTAAATAACCCACCAAGACCAGACATAAATAGTTATTAACAAAATCAAATTACCTGACTCATCGGTGGAGAAAAAAAATTTGTAAATATTCCTTCCCATAATATTAGTTTGGGTCGCAACTTACATCAAATTGAATCAGTGTCTCAAAAGAAAAGAGGATTTTTATAGCAGTCTGGACACAGAAGAATTTTGCAAAATATTTAAACATTTATTTTACTTACTCATATTGTAACTGCCCCTCACTAGAACAAGTTTTATTTTTGTCCGTGCAAATACTACACTCCCCACTGGAAAAGCACTTGTTGACAGAAATACGCACATCCTGAAAAGCAAAGATGAAGAAAAATGAAATTAATAACACAATTATAATTTCATGGCAAGTCATATCAATTCATATATGATACAAAAAAAAAGGAATAAGTAGGAAGCTATGAATGACTATATACAGAAAGGACATGGCATGAAATAAATGGGGCCATAGGAAACCACTCCACTATCTTTACCAAGAAATTGTGGTAACTCACAAATAATAAAGTAAAGGAACCTGATTGATTAACTATATTCAGAATAGACATTACATTTAAAAAAAAGTATCTGTGGGGAACAACTCTACTATCTTTCCCAGGAAATTATGGCAATTTACAAATTGATTGATTACATTCAGAATTGACATTACATTAAAAAAATGTTAGAATGTAGAACTACTCCAAGAAATTGTGGCAATTCGCAAATAATAAAGAAAAGGGACCCATGGAAAGCTATTGATTGACTAAATTCAGAACTGACATTACATTAACAAAAAGTGACAATGTAGAAACACTCTAAGAAATTGTGGCAATTCAAAAATAATAAAGAAAACGGGCCCGTGGAGAGCTATTAATTCAGAATTGACATTACATTAACAAAAAGTGACTAAGAAATCGTGACAATTCACAAAGAATAAAGAAAATGAATCTGATTGACTGACTACATTCAGAATGGACATTACATTAAAAAAGTGTCTCTCCATTACTTTCCCAAGAAAGCATGGCAAAGATTACAAAGAAAGGACTCCGTGAAAAGTCATGAACACTTACACTTTTGAAAGAACATGGTTATAAAAAATAAACTGATTTATTACTAATTTGACTAAAATTTTAGTATATAAGCTAAAGTGCTTACCCGGTGGATACGTAGTACTTGTACTTTATACCATGAACTGTCAGTCACTTTGTAGGGTACATTCAGCTGTAGAATAGGGGTTTTCTGCGTCAAAATCGAGAAATGGATCATACCTTCAACAATTTCAAGAGCAACAAAATTTTCTGCTGGTCGGCCAATTGCCAGCTGTGCAGGATTGTAGAGCAAAAGAGCGTTTGTCATTTTTGTCGCCAGATAGATTGTAATATTGTTCACATTCTCTGCAATTGTCGGAAATTCAAGGAAAGATAGTTCACCGAAACTGTATGTCATTTTAGAGCAGAACTTGCCCCATTTATCATATGGACACTGGCAGGTAAAGCCATCCAAATCGCTAACACAGGTACTTCCACCTTGACAGGAATTTGGTTTACAGTGGTCAATCCCTGTCTCACAGTAACGTCCAGAAAATCCCTTCTTGCATGTGCAGGTGAACGACCCCGGTGTGTTGTGACACGTACCTTGCTGGCACGGATTTCTCTCACATTCATTCAGGTCTTCGGTGCAGCTTGGTCCCGTCCATCCATCCAAGCACATGCAGAACGAATCTCCGTTTGGTTTGGCAGTGCAGGTGCCCCCATTGTGACAATACACCTGACCACAGCGCATCTCCTGTATGTCACAGTTCGTGCTCCCGTAGCCAACAGAACACTTGCAAATGTAGTCGGTTATATTAGGACTACTCATTATCATGCTGTCTGTGTCAACGATTTGCCACTTGCCATTAATTGTCAGCTGTCTGATACAGGTTCCTCCATTCTGACACGGATTTAAAATACAAGATGAAAAATCCGGGACTAAATTGTTTATTTTCAGCAAATTCTGCAGATTGGTTTTTATTTTCAACAGTTTCTGTACAAGAATCTCCTTAGGGACAATTTCATTGTTTCTGTCTAGCGCCATCAGAAACACCAACAAATTCTTTTCAACTTGTTTCAGACCGAACACCTTGATCTTCCACATGACGCCCGACTCCGTTTCAAGATAATCGATAAATTTCTCGTACTTTTTACCAACGAAGACTCTTTCCTTTATGTCGAACAATTTTAAAGTGACAGAATTGGATAAGGTTTCATTAGTAAGGCTAGAAATATATATGGTGGCGTTGTAATTGACATCTTTGTGAATACCGTCTTGGCCGCTGATGAGTAGGTGCTGTATGCTGGAACTTGGTAAGTGCAGGATTTGTAAATGACACGTGTGAGGAATAGAGAAAACATCAGCACCAGCGGAGCTCTGAAGAATCTTGCAAGAGTAATCACCTGATGCATCTTCATCCAAGGGCTGAACGTTGGCAATATACTCACTAGGAACCTTTCCCTCGAAGAGATAAAGAAAGATTGTCACAGTCCGAGGTTTTGAGGGCATGTCATTGATATCCCGAACAATAATGCTAAATGTCAAACTTGAAGTCATAGATGGTACGCCGTTATCCACGACGGTGACAGCAACTGGGAATTTGACAACTTCTTCTCGGTCCAACAATACCTTGGTAGTGACTAATCCATTTGTATCAATTTGAACATAGTTGCTGAAAGGACCTGGAGTTGGATAAAAATGGTAAGGACCTTGATTTGGTGGTAAATCACAATCTGTCGTGTATTCGCTGAGAGAGATGACGTTGAAGCCAGGCGACAGGTTTTCCGTGACATAGGCTACCAATGGCTTGCTTGTGAAAGCAGGAGAACAGTCATTTATATCGGTGATGTAAAGTCGAACAGTAGCCATGCCTGCAAACAAAGAATTTATATTAATTAATAAAAATGTCATTATTTTTCTTTTAGTTTATCTCAGTTATAAATGAAACCGAAACATTCATGATCACAATTTTGGCCTGGAAAATGCCATGTTATTAAATGAGGAAAATAATTCACTCAAAGTTGAAAGTACCATTATCTACTAACACCATTGTGATTAATATTTGACAGGACTTCTTATTAAATTCGTATTGTATTAAAGTATGATAAAAGTTACTTTGAGCATTCCTTTATAATTGTGCTTGTCTCACTCTTTGTTAATTTACACAAATGTTACCGTCCTACCGATACCTTATAGATAATGGACCATTCGGTTTTGCTCGCGTGGAAAGAGGTGAAAAGACACTAATTAGTTTTAGTAAGAAAATGAATGAATCAAAGAAAGAAAGAGAGACGGGAAGATAGAAGTGTTTAACATCTGTTAATACCTCATCAATAATGGACTATTCCGTTTTGATAAACAAAATACATATCTACTTGGGTGTAATGAGAAAATGAATAAAAGAAAGATAAAATTCAAAGGAGAATCAGCAATAATACTGGTGCTGACCTTTTTGTTAAGAGAGAGAAAATTTTTAAAAAGAATCCATAACTACTTACCAGTCTGCGGTAGAGTACCTTTATCAATAGCGCCGACTGTAAGATTGTATACCGCAACCTTTTCCCGGTCCAGTTTGGAACGGGTGTAGATTTGACCGGATACACTGTCAACCTGGAAAGCATTTCCAATGTTTCCAGCAAGGATACTGTAGGTGAACTGGTGGTCTTTACGTCGTAGATCATTATCATGAGCGGCTACTTGGATGACCGGCATACCACTCGATACGCCCTCCGAAATCGACTCATTATAGACGGCCTTGGTGAACACAGGCGGGTCATTGGCATCGGTTACCGTGATGTGAACACGGCACTGATCAGTGTCGTTTCCCTTCACGCTTCCCCAGTTTTTAGCCATGACGTCCAAAGTGAGCCGAGGATGCGACTCGTAATCTGGCTTTCCAGAAACGGTGATGTTACCGGTCAGGGCATTTATCTTAAACCCACGCAGGTTGCTGGACCCCATTAGAAAGTAGTAGACAACCCCATCTACCCCAGCATCAAGGTCAGTTGCCAGGACAGAGCCCACTGTCGTACCCTTTTTCACTGATTCACTAATGCTAAAATTGTACTCTTTTTGCAAAAAGACGGGGTAGAATTCATTAACGCTCGTCAGGTGCACATTGACCACGGCAGTGTTCTGTAAATTGGTACCAGGATTTTTGGCCAGAATGTGTAAGCTGTAGGTCTGTTGGAGTTCAAAATCCAGTTTTGCACTTGAGTTTACGGTCAAGGTTCTAGTGTCCAAAGTGAACTTTGTTCTAGCCAGAACATCCCCGACAATTCGGTATTCAATGTAACCGTAGCTGCCAGAATCAGCGTCTGTTGCGTTCAATTTAAAAACCGACGTTCCTATCGGAGAGTTTTCCGGTACGTAGACGTTGAACTCCTTTTTGTCAAAAATTGGTGGATTGTCATTGACATCTGTCAAAAAGATGGTAAATATTATGGAAGTTTCTCTATAAAATAGCCCGTGATCCCTGGCAGTTATGTTAATGCGATGTATTGTAGTCTTTTCATAGTCGAGAGGTTTATTAACGGAAAGGTTTCCATGTTTCTCGTGTATGGCAAACATGTTGTGAGGATCTCCTCCAGTAATGTAGTAGCTGATCTCACTATTCGGGCCGTAATCATGGTCTTCCGCCTGCACAGTATCAAAAATACTGCCCACCGGGAGACCTTCAGAAATTTCCTTTTCAAAGACAATCCGACGGAAACCAGGAGCATGTTTGTTAATATCGGTTATTTTAAGGTGTACGGTTGCAATATCTGAAGATTGAGGAGGTTGTCCTTTGTCCATAGCTTGAACCTTCAGCTCAAATTCTTTATCCATACTCTGGCTTAAACTGGCAGATACATGAATAGTACCTAAAATAGAAAGGAAAAAAATATTCCAAGATTAACGATGGAATTCTTTTAGATTAGATGTTTTAATCATTGTATACAGATTTCATTTCGCATAATAACAGCAAAGTTCAATGAATGCTTACGGCCATATCACGTTAAAACACCTATTCTCGTACGATTACCGAAGTTAAACAACGTCGAGCTTGGTCAGTACCTAGATGGGTGAGCGAGTGGGAATATATAGGTAATTTTTTAAGGGTTTAAAATTAATGTATTTTCAGTGACCGGTTGCACTATACACAGGTAATTTTTTTCTTGAAGGGTTAAAATGCATGCAATAAAATTCATGGGTAGCATTATACATGAAATTTGCTTATACACGGTTATATACAGTATATATCCTACCTCTCGTCATTTGTTAACAATTCCGAGCCATTATCCATTACGCCACCTGCATATCAAATCTTACAGCATCTGGTATTTCTAAACGGTCACCCATCTGACCAGGTACAACTTTGCTTAACTTCGGTAATCGTACTGGTGTTTCGACGTAATGTGGTCGTATTCGGGAATAATAGGTGCTGTAAGCTTGGATGTGCTGGTGGTGCAGTGGATAATGGCTCTGAATTGTTAATGGGGGAGCCGAGTTCCAATTCCTGTTGAGATTGTTATATTCACTTACGCGCAAAAATCATTGGGAAAGGTATGAATTCACCTCTCCCCCCGCCCAGGTACGGGTTAGTTAGCAAGACTTGTATGATTAAATCATTATTATCTTAAAAAAAAAAATCCTACAATCTAAAATTATTTTCTGTAAAAAAAAAAAACAAACATAAAAACTGAATCAATCAATTAACCAAAGTTCAGTGAGTTCGCTGGAAGGTCGTGGGTTCAGTGTAAATGTTAGCAGAAAATACCAGGGACCTACAGACATAAAAGACAAGGATATGACACCTCAGAGCAAGATTTTTTAGATAATCATAATAATAGAAAAGAAAAATGACCCGTGACAACAAATTTGACGTTTGAAGATACTGAAAAAAAAAAAAAAAAAAAAAATGACACTCACGAAACATGAACACACGACACACAAAAATCAAAGAAAACTGTGCATACATAGATCCATGCTATCAACACCTTCTGACAATGAGAGCCGAAAGCACTCAGATGACATTAGACAATAGACCTTGCTATCCATAATGCACTATTGGCCAGCATATATAAATAGTCGGAGCCAACACAAAACACATACAACCTGAAGATTGAGTTGAAGCCTGAAACAGATTATCGCTGCTCAGTGTTGACTTCAATGTCCATTTTATATTTTTACATGATACGCCCCCCCTCCTTGCGAATTTACTACATTTCAATTTTCATGAGGTAGTATTCATATAAAATACAATTTGAAACCGAATTATGTACAATAATAGAGCATATAAATTATAAATGAACAATTCAGCTAGAAAAAATGAAAATAAATACAAGTATCAAAATAAAAATTATAGACATAGATCATTCCATATTAAATGAACAATATTTTGCGGCCTTGATTAACAAATTCAAATTTTTCTAGTTAAAAAGCTGAATAATTTTGACACTTTCAACATTATGGAAAAAAAATAGTGAATTTTATATAGTGTTTTCTTTGAAACTTAGCATGGGCAAAACAAATTCACGTATTTGGACGAAAAAAAAATGACCTCCAAATGATGTCATAATCCGCGAATATTTTTCATCGTTTCATAGTTTTGTTTTAATTTGTAACGCATCTAAATATAGGTAGAAAATAAACAAAAGTTGATATGATAGCAAGGATCACAAAGCAGCAGGTTGGTGGGTCCAGGGGTAGTTTACACTGGCCAACTTATACACTTCCCAGAACTTATTATCAAAGACTTTTCGATTGTAAGAAGCGCCACTGTTTCAATTCGACAATTCAACACTACAATTCTTGACAATTTCTAAGTTTCTCACCATTAGATTTATTGATGTGAAAATAGTATGTTCCATTTCCTGCGACGACAACGTATTCCACTTTGGCATTTATTCCATAATCTTTTTCATCTCTGAAAATAAAAATAAAAGAAATATTTCATTTTTCCTTTAAATATTGAAAAGGAGAGAAAAATAAAGAATAAAGAAAGAAAAATATTTGCGATTAAAAAAAATAGATGAAGAAAGGAAATAATTTCAATTCAAATTCCATATGAGAAACATAAAAAAAAAAAAAAATCAGCGGAAAGAAAACAAAACAAAAAAAACCTGTTCTGAAGTTGATTTGATTTGCGAAGAGAAAAAGAAAATTATTTTTTATCGATTGATTCGTTCATTTCAGGGATTTATCACCTTATTTCGCATAATAGCAGAAATTAAGAATTTCGATTCTGTCGGATCTTTTCCCAATTAAGGCTGTCACCTGTAAGGAACCAATCAGAAAACACTTAGAGAATGTAATCTCATTTGAAAATTTCTCGCACCCAGAAGCATTTGTTTGTGAGAAGGTTTTTCTACAATTTTTCATCTGCTTCTAAAATAATTTTTCAGCACTATTAATTATGCATCATAGATTGGCGCATGGTGTTATGGCTAGCAGAGAACAAAATCGTCGAACTGAGTTCAATCTCAAGCTGAGACAATTTTGCGTTCATTTTGTACAAATGCTGTTGGGAATTGCATAAATTCACGGGTAAAATGGATGGCAAGTGCATCCCTTTTTTTTAACATTGAAAGTCAGTCCCCTTTTAGGTGTTTGGATTGTACACCAGTCGCCTAAAATTCGCCTGCAACTTAAAACTACGGCAGCATTCGTTGGCACGGTAGCTGACCAAAGAATCTACAGGAAAAGGGACTCATCGAACAAGGCACCACATATAAAAAAGTGTGTGTGCGTGTGTGTGTGGTGGGGATGGTATCAAATGTTAAATATCCGATAATCTGTCGGGGATAAACCAGAGCTTAAAAGTTTTCGGCTGTTAAAATCAGTTAAGTTTTTATGAAAAAATACAGATGCGATAAGCTAGATGACGATTAGCCTTAAAAATGGCGGGTTGGAGACGCTTTCATTTAGAAAATGCATCGTCACGAGAGCAAAGTTGTCTGTCATTTGATTGGCTGACCATAAGATGTCTGGTCTGCCAGTGGCTAAATGTAGACTTAGAAGTCGGGAAGTTTAACATGCCTTCTTTATTATTTTATGAAATTTCCGACTCCATTCTCGGGATTATTAAAGCCACTTCGTTTATTAATTTAACATTTTTTGATTCTTCAATTTTCCCAAGTTTAAAATAAGACACTAGAATAATACGTTTCCCTTCCACCGTGTCTGGAAAACACCTACTTCGGGTTGAGCAATAAAATCAAAGTTGTAGACAACAAAGAAAAGTTCATTTGTTTTAAATTATAAAATTTTATTGAACTTTTTAGAAATTAATCTTTAATTTTTTTTATTTTTTTTTTTTACAGCGGAGTTCAGCCTGTACAGGGTCCGAAGGTTACTCGAAGAGAGTAAGAGGCACAGCTGATGCGGATATGTATGGAAGATAACGGTTAATTCTAGACTCTTGGGAGATATTTCCACAAGGCAGTGGTTCCGGAGAAGAAACTGTATGAATAAAACTTACATCTAACCGGGCTTATATGAAGAGAATGAGGTTGTTTCGCTACAATGACCGTGGCAAAGCGCATCTTAGCCGCGAAGGTTAGAACTAGTGGAACTAAGGAGTATAGTTCATCTGAACACTCTCCATGGAAATATTAGGTTGGTGCAAAATAATTTCGTTTTCTAACATATGTTACTATGTGAGAAAAACGAAATTATTTTTGCACCAACCTAATAACAATAGAGCAGCGAGAGACTTGCGATGTCTCGTCTGGGAGAAAGGGCTTGTAGGGTGGAAATTAATTCGTTGCCTAATAAATAAAATTATTATTAAATTATTATTATTGCTTTTGTAGAAACATATTTAGGTCTGTGATGGAATTAAACTAGACACACACACACACGGAAATGTCCATAGAATTTGAAAGAAATTAAAATGGACACCTATGTCGCGAAACTTAATTTCTCTTACCGGAAAACAAGAAAAGAATGTGTGTGCGCCCTTTGAAATAATTTTTTAAGGCGACTTCTGTATTTAAGCTGAATATGTAATGAGAGGAAACACGATGGAGTAGACAGATTGAGGAATCGGAAAGCCGAGTTCGAATTCCAGTCGAATCCATTATATTCACTTTAATACCTTTTCCTTGGGAAAGGTATTAATCCTCTTCTTCCTCCATACGGGTTAATAGCAGGACAGACTGGGTTCTTTAGCCAACTTAGGGACCTTGTGGCGCTGTATTCGGCTCTTCAAAAAGTGTGATTGTTGATTCTGCACAAAGCCTTCACCGCTACAATCAAATCATATGTGCTGGTGTCTCGGCTGTTGGTTCCTAGGAACTGAGCTGCTTGATACTTATACGTCGAATACAACGGGAGAGTCCACCATATTTTCTAATAAATGTAGTATTATAAATGAATTTAAAGTTGACCATCTTGCTTTCAGTGAAGCGACAAGTGCTGAACAAGCTTGCATTAAAATTCGTCACCTTCATGCAAGAACCATAAGTTCCTTAATTTTATAATATTTCTCTTTCTTCTTTGTTTCAAATCAACGTATTTTTCAACGCAAAAAAAAAAAAAAAAAAAAAAAAAAAAAAAAAAAACAAAAACAAAAAAAAAACGCTCAAATTTTGCAGACTAATTTCTGTCTGACGCCAGAGAAACAAGATTTTTAAGCAAAATTGCTAGATTCTAAAAAGGATTTAAAAATTAATTTTTACATAAGAAAATCCTTGAGTCTTGGGACAATTTTTCATCATGTATGATCATTTTTTAGCGAATCTTTGGATGTAATTTATGTTTTTTGTGATCATGAGAATTTCTTCGGTAAATAAATATTACTTTTGAAACAGTTTTTATATTTTGATGATTTATTTGTACATCTGTCATTGAATGAAAATATACATAGACACACGAAAAGGTACGTACACATAGAATTTAAATGTAATATGGTTGATTTTCCTTTTCGTCTGTAGAAATTGGATAACAAGAAAATACAGTAAGTCGAAATGTGCGGCTCTTTGAAGTTGTTTTAAGACTCCTTCTGTATATAAACTGAATATATTTTCTAATAAATGTAGTATTTTAAATGGATTAAAAATGTAGATTTGCTATTTGATCATCTTGCTCTCAGCACAGCGGCAGATACCGAACAAATTTGCATGAAAATTCGTCGTCTGCAAGCAAAAATCTCAAGTCCCTTCATTTCTTTTCGTTAACCATTAAAAAAAAAATATTTTATAGTGTGCGTGATAAAAAGACGGGTACAGGTAGACATACTGTCTCCTTTCTCTCTCTCTCTCTCTCTAGTCCCAGTTAGGATGTTCGCTTCAGGTCATTCTCTCTCTCTCTAGTCCCAGTTAGGATGTTCGCTTCAGGTCTCTCTCTCTCTCTCTCTATCTCTCCGTCTGCTAAATGATCCAATGTAAGTGTCTTGTGGAACACAAATTACTACCTACAAAATTTTAACCTCTCACCCGGCATTATGTTTCTCTCATAGTGTGAGGCAGACGTCAGCAAAGTGAGAAGCACGGAACTTATACGATATTAAAAACGAAGGATTATATCTCTTCTGCAAATATCTATTATTTTTTTTTTAATGTGTGTGTGTGTGGGGGGGGGTAATCCATTAATAGATTATCCAGAGGTTGGGCTTTCTTTATAAATATTTTAATCTTTTCCGAAATTCAAAAATGAGATTAATTAACACGCGACTTTTGGATTGAACCAAAAATATTTGGGTTTCCTCTTAAATGTTAAACAAAAAAGAACTAATCTATCCTAAATTTCTTATCTCTGGTAGTACCAGTTCTGTAAGATCACTAGCAACAACTATGGTTATAATTTTAGCTAGAGATTTTATGGTTGTTATAAAGTTAGTTTTATTTTCTACGTTGATTATATATATTTTATCTAAGTACCTCCAATAATTCGAGGAAAAAGGTGCATACCATGATGAAAAAAACGCCATAAACTTAATAAAAACAATGTTTTATCATCAAAATGTTTGTTATTATTAAGAGAAAGTGTTTTTTTTATTATTCCTAAGACATTCGAAATTGTAGTTAAAAATCTTGTTTTTTTTTATGCGTCTAGGGTATAACAGAGTTAGTAATGGAGATTTTCGTGCCTTTTTTACACATTAATTTAAAAATTCTTGCAAAAATCAAATAATTGTAGGAATTTAATGAAACTTTCAGGACTTATTCACAAATGAATGAATTTATTTTTAAAATTATTATTTTTAGAAAATCTTGGTAAAAATATTTATTTTTACATCTGTTAACACCCCCTCCTTACTTAATTTCATGTAATTTCTAGAAAATAAAATCGCCGAACAAAATGTTACTCAGTTGATATAATTAATCTAGTTGGAGAGTAAACTCATTATTATTATTATTGAATTAAATCTTAGATTTGTTTTAGTGTCTTATCTGATATATGAAGAAGAACAACAACAAAAAGAAGAAGAAGAAGAACAAGAATAATAATAATAATAATAATAATAATAATAATAATAATTATTATTATTATTATTATTTTTGATATTATTATTATTTTTGATTTCTGTTGGATCCCAACCAGAGATCTAAGGTCAGAAATGGTTTCATGACATTTTCCATTGATCATGTTTCCCAAAAAACAAACAAAAAGACAAACAACAACAACAAAAAAAAAAAAAAAACGAAAAACTAAGATGAAACACATAAAGATAGATAAAGCTCTTCGTAATGTGTAAGCTCTACTTGTGAGTACAATGTTTTGTATTTCTTTTAAGGCATGGGCTACCAGGAATCCTTTCATCGCGTCTATTGGAACCAGTCAATCCGCGGGCACCAGCTACAATTGGAATTATAGATGTTCTCATGTGCCACACTTTTGAGATTTCTATTTCAAGATCCTTGTATATTTTTAACTTTTGGGGGATCTTCAAAGATGCATTACAATCTGCAAGAACTTGCATGTCAATAAGAAATCATATTATTATTATTATTATCGCCATCATCCTCATCATCAGTTAGAAACAGGGTGGAGTTAACAGAATTTTGCAATATTTTCGAATTTGCGCAAAACTGAATTGACGTGGCAAGGAGTTAAAATATCTCGGCTTCTTTAAAAAACATTTTTTAACAAAGACAATTGCAATTGAAAATTTAAATGGATTTTCTGAGAGAAGCAAGCAAAATATTATTTTCAGTTCCTGAATTTTGAGCAGCTTTGATCAACAGCGATTGTTTGCACTTGAAATTAAATAAATAACAGAAAAGGCTCATTGAATTATGGAAAAACTTCCGATTGAAAAAGGAAAAAAAAATATATTAATTAAACTCTTAAATCAACCAGTGATTTCTGTCCAAATGATAACACATGGCTTCCGGCATTGAAAGTAATCAAAATTACTGGAGGCTCCCACACATTATAAATTAAGGCAAATTCATATTGAAACACAAACTCTTTGTTTTCATTTTGATTTCTTTTATGGGAATGAAAGTCGTTTTTCACCCTTCAAAGTTTGCCACAACAGACGCGTTAAGAAAACTTTTGAAAGAATTTAAAGCGTTTAAACTAAGAAAAAAAAAAAAAAGAAAACAAATTTCCGCCAAAAGACATTTTAAAAGTTTTTATTGTGAACGATTTTTATTTGAGTGGGTTTTATCCTCACTAAGATTCCAAAACTTATGGTTTTGTGGCAAAAATTATGTTTAATAAATAAAATTTGATACTTCACAGAGCAAACGTACTGAACCTTAGAATTTAAATAATCCTCGCTGTGTGCTCTATAGTTTTATCCTTGTATCACACTTATAAACATCTCTTGTTACCTGATAAAGTTCTGATTGAGATTTGATTATTTCAGGCAGGAAAAAACATTATGTTTAAGGATCCAAATTCTAGATTCGGGATTGTCCTTTGAATTTAAGCATTGGTTCGTGATATTGTGTGGCATAGTCATTGTGAATTTAATCTCTAAGGAGAGTGGGTAGTACAGATTCAGTCTTAGTGGAAACAGGGCTAGAAATAAATGTGCAGTACTAAAAAAAAAAAAAAAGAAGAAAATACGTAAGCAAATATAGTGAAACCTCGGTTTACGAATTTATTTCGTTCCTGAAGGCCGTTCGTAACCCAGAATGTTCGTAAACCGAAACTATTTTTCCAATAGGAATCAACGTAGAGAAAAAAAAAGTCACAGTACAATAAAATTGAAAAAAATAAAAGCACAACACAACACGAATATATATACAACATGGCGGTCGACTCAGAAATTATTCTGTTCGGGTTAACTCGGTTTGGCAATTTTGTTCGATAACCGAGGCATTTTCATCTCGGATTTTCTGTTCGAAAACCGAGCTTGTACTGTATTAGAAAGAGAATAAGATCAGATACACCGAGACATGAGCAGCAGAATAAGAAGAATTTACCCAGGTAGGTTAAATTCAAAAGGTTACAATGACAAATATCGGAAGAAGTCATAAAGGCCGAAAAGTGGTGGCAATAACAACAAAGATGTGGATATTAGTCCAAATGTAAAGAATGGAAACTTATCAGAAGAAAACTTACCTTGCAACCACTTGAAGTATTTTATCACCAATAGTCACGTTATAAGGAACGGCTGAAAAATAGAATCTTTTCTCGAAGCGCGGAGGATTATCATTTGCATCTATCACGTTAACAGTGACCAAGGCCTCTGATGAACGAGAAGGGACACCCAAATCCACAGCCTGTACAACCAGCTCGTGATGGTTGTACAGGCTGGTGTTGTCATAGTGTAGCTGCTGAATAGTGTAGATGACGCCAGTTTTGTCAGTGATATTAAACAGTTTCGACGGCATCTTCAGGGAATAATACAGTTGGTTACTGGGGGAGGTCTTGTCATGGTCAGTAGCGATCACCTTGCCAACTTGGACTGGAAGTACCTGTAGTTCAGAGACCTCGAACGTATACACCGGCTTAGAGAAAACCGGGGCGTTGTCGTTGACGTCAGTGACTTCGATGGTCACATCGGTGCGCGTGTTATATGAGCTGGCCTTGGCCGCAACTGGCAATCTGTAGTACTGTTGGGTCTCGAGGTCGAGGGGTTCATTAACCGTGATGTTTCCACTCACTGGGTCCAAAGAAAATTTATTGGAAGGGTTGTTGAGGAGCTCATAGGTGACTTCTGCATTCTTCCCGATGTCTGGATCTTTTGTGGAGAGTTGGAGAACGAAGGAACCGACTTCAGCATTTTCGGGAATGCTAGCGGTGAACAGGCGTGTAAAACGCGGTGCGTTGTCGTCGACATCCATGATGTGAATGTCAACTGTGGTCGTGCCAGTTTGTTGATTTGATCCTCCCTATAAAAAAAGATGAGTCATGAAAGATCATTAACGGCGAAGATATTTAATAAACGAAACATTTACGAAAAAAAGCATATTACTATTGTACAATACTAGAATTCACCCAATACGAATCTAGATAACCACTCAAGTTAGAACGTTACTAATAATAATGAATACAACATGTGATATCAATAAATAAGGAGGTGGTAGGATTGATTTTCCTTTTCGTCTGTAGAAATTGGATAACAAGAAAATACAGTAAGTCGAAATGTGCGGCTCTTTGAAGTTGTTTTAAGACTCCTTCTGTATATAAACTGAATATATTTTCTAATAAATGTAGTATTTTAAATGGATTAAAAATGTAGATTTGCTATTTGATCATCTTGCTCTCAGCACAGCGGCAGATACCGAACAAATTTGCATGAAAATTCGTCGTCTGCAAGCAAAAATCTCAAGTCCCTTCATTTCTTTTCGTTAACCATTAACCATTAAAGGATGAGGAGGATAGATAAGCGACCAAAGTTTACCTAATAGAAATCTCGAAAGCCGGACAAATCAGAACTTTGACGAATTCGTTTTTTACAGCTTATCAACACTTTGTAGGTTATTTAGTACACATAGTCAAATGGAGAGAGAAAGAGATTTATTGTTTTTTTTCTTTTACAGCCTAACAATTTTTTGCAGGTTTACAAAATCAGAAAATATTTTTAGATAATAAGATTTTTTTTTTTTTTTTAGATAATAATGGTTTTGGTAAAAATGACCACAGGATGATGTAAAATTCCGCGAAAATTTTTCACCCTTTAATACTCAGTTGCGTTTTGTTTAGTTTGTAACGTATATAAATGTTGGTGGAAAAAAGTCAAATGTTGATAAGATAACAAGAGTCACAAAGCACTGTCTGGGGCCCGCAATCAGGCTTGACTCACACAGTCAGTGGCGTTCGGTGGTTGTACGCAACGACCCTGCTTGCCAGGAAAAATTAATATTTATTGATCTTGATTGCGTATTACAAGTATATTCTCTTATATCAGAAATCGCAACAGATCCCATCCGCCTTTATATATTTTTTTGTTAAGACGATTGAAGACAAGTTCGTATTTTCTCGTTATTAGCACCCACTATTCATCCGGTTCCTACCCATTATTGCATTATTTTTCTGAAAAAAAACCCCCCAAAAAACAAAAAACAAACTATCTCACCCTTTTGTCTGAATGTCTACATTTATTAACTTTTGTAAAATTGAAAGACCCTCGACGTCTTATTTGATACCACGCCGTTTATTCGAGAGACAATCTTTCCAGTTGGCCTACACTTAGTTTCCCGCTAGAATATTTTCAACTTGATGTCTATATTTACAGAAAAAAAGATAAATAGGGATTTAGCAAACCTGATAGATCCAAAGTAAGGACCTAGATAGCAGATTCTAAATAGAACACTTAACTAAACTTTCTGTAATTGTACAAAACTAATATGCTAGAAATGCTCCAGGGTTCTATGAGCAATCTGAGAATATTTGATTGACCGGAGCTGGAGCTGTCCTTGAGTTACATGGTGACAAACAGACAGATGGGAATTTAAAAAAAAGGAAAGACAAAATAGTGAATTAGAGGAAGATTTTATTAAAGATTTTTGTTTTTCTTTTCAGCCTGAGTTATTTCCCTTGAAAATGGCGGTTTAATATTAAAAAAAAATTGAATTAGTATCAGCGTTTAAAAAAAAAACAGGAATCATTTTCTTCATATCTGAATAGAAAATTAAAACTGAATTGGTTTTAATTTAATTTTGCCTGCCATAAATTTAAAGAATACGAGTTCAATCCTTAGTGGGTCACATAAAGGCTAGCGACTTTGTTTCGTAATCTCAGAAATAATTATCTTATCCTTTTCTAAAATACTCAGCAATATTCTTCTTCTATGTACCGTGTCCCCTCGATCGTGGCTCTCCACAATTTCCTGTCCTTTGTAACTCTTAATAATTTTTGTATTTTTGCTATTTCTCCTAAACCATGTTCGACCATCCATTTACTCAAACTCAGTAAGTATGTTTTGCGTTTTTTCCTCTGTTCCCCTTGCCGTCAATCTGTCCTATGAGTATCAGATTTTCCAATCCCTCTTTCCTCAATATATGCCCTAGAAATTTCAAGTGTCTCTTTCTAATGTTGAGTATAAGTTTCCTTATCGTTTCCATTTTCTCTAAAACCTGGTCATTGCTCACGTGTTCGGTTCATAGTATCCTCAGCATTCCTGTGTAGAAGCACATTTCTGTTGCTTCAAGTCCCCTTTTCAATTTTGTGGAGATTGTCTAACATTCGCTGCCATAAAGGAGGACAGATATCACGTAAAAGTTCAGTACGCTTTTCTTTAATTCCAACGAAATTTTTCTGTCTCTTAATACTCTACTTAGCTTTTGGAATGCATATTTGGTCATCCCAATACGTCTTCGGATTTGATGTTGCGAAAATCTTAACTGTGTTATTGCAGAATGGCGAAGCCAGGCTGATGTCACTGCATCTGTATCGATCACAGTAAGGATAAAGAAAGGTTGCTTTTCTCTGTCAAGAGAATGGTTTTTCTGTCTTTTAATATTCTGCTTAAATTTTGGAATGCCTACAAACTTAATTATTTCTAATAAAGTAACATTGCATGAGAATTCTAGCCTGACATTAAGTAGCCATTTTGAAGATTTAGAAAAATCATTTACGCGATTTTGGCGCCACCTGGCGACTAAACAGAGTGAACTTCATTGGATATATACGCCAAGAGATTCCGCTTTATTAAGTGGGCTTGTGGCTTTTGGCATTGGAAAAGGAGTAAGATTTCAGACCGGAGAAGAGATTAAGGAGAATGCGACAAAGTAGTCAAGTAAAAAGAAACGTGAAAACTATTTTCATGAGTGCTATGGATGCTGTGACATCTGAGTATTTTTTTAAAAAAAATGTTTGCTTTGAAAGCTCTAAATCGCCATTTGACAAGGTAAGCTATCTTTTTCATTAATATAAAAGGGTTACAGTCCACCTATGGCCACGCTAATTTCTGGTTTTTCCTATTGAAAAGGGTGAGTGATTTCCGACCATGGACGAGATTAAACAGAATGGCGATATTGAAAATTGCAAACCGTTTTGAAATGTGTTATAGATGCTGAGACAATTGGGTTTCCAAAATGTGTATTTTGAATAGATAAAAGCGTTATTGCTTTCAATTTTTTTCTTTTAATAGAAAATGGATGAATGCTTCCGAAACAGACTTCGTTTAATAATATAAATGTTATGATATTTAAAAAAAAGACTTACCTGATCGACTGCTTCAACAATTAAATGATAATAATCGATGCTTTCTCGATCAATCTTATTCTTGGTTTTGATTAAACCCCTTCGATCTATCTCAAAGGCATCTTTCGTGTTTCCATCGGTTATATGGTAAGTTATTTTACCATTATTACCAGAATCAGCATCTTTTGCTAAGACACGGATGACACTTGAACCCACTATATTCGTCTCGTAGATGGATGCATTGTACAATATCTTTTGGAAATGTGGAGCATTGTCATTTATATCCATAATGATGATATTTAACTTTCTGTAAGCTGAGAGCGGATCACTGCTGATGTCTTGAGCCTCAATCCAAAGTGCATAGTCTTGGGTATCTTCAAAATCTAATGGATTGGCAATTGAAATAATCCCCCGATAATCGTCAATGCGGAAGGCGTTGTGTACATTACCCCCAGCGATGTAATACCTAACTCTGGACCCCTTCGGGGAGTGAGCTACTACCGTGGTTACTGTCATATTAAGTTTCGAGTTCTCATTCAGTACAAATTCTGTCATTGGTTCGAAGACAGGAATATTGTTGGTGTCTTTTTGCACCATGTTGATAGTCACCGTCACTTGACTCGAGAAAGGATTTTGATTCTGAAAGAAGACAAAGCAAAATTATTAGATTTTTTTTATTACATCATATATGATCATGGCTTGATATTTAAAAACATCAATTCACTGCAAGCAAGGTGATAATGCCACTAAGATGCAAGAGGCTACTAGGAGTGAAAGAGAATGAAAAGACTTTAGAAGCAACCGGAAACCTAATCCTAAACAGGAAACAATAATCCTCTAGTTCAAAAGACCGGGGAGGAGTGTGAACCGGATGACAGGAAAACCTATCTATTCTTATTGAGAAGCAAAAAAAAAAAAAAAAAAAACATTAGTGAATAAAATTTTAGATTCCAGGCGGAGACGTTAGAAGTATAAAGTTGAAGTCGACTTTAGAAGGAACCGGAAGCCCAGTCCTAAACAGGAAACAATAATCCGCTAGCCTTGTTAGAAAGATCGAGGAAAAGTGTGAATCAGACGACAGGCAAACCTATCTACTCCTATTGAGGAGAAAAAAATCATTAGTGAATAAAATTTTAGAGTCCAGGCGGAGACATTAAAAGTATCGAGTTGAAGTAGAATTTAGACGGAACCGGAAACCCAGTCCTAAACAGGAAACAAGGGATAAGCATTTAGTCTTGTTCGAAAAATCGGGGAGGAGTGTAAACAAGACAAGAGGCGAAACTATCTACTCCTATACCACTATTTCCTAAGGAATTCCACATCTATTGTAAGTGTCCCGACAACCAGCAAACCCCATAGAAGACAATGTGAGAAGCGTTCGTGTTTGTATAATGAATCTTTATGTCAAGCCCTGCACAAAATGTGACTGGCGGGAATAGTGCATGTTATTCGTCCGAAAGCTGGCTTCACCAAAAACCGTTAAAACGAATCTTCACTTGGTCGAATAATTCACCTGACCGTCATAAACAAACCTAGAAAATTAAAGGGAGATAACTGAATGATCTGAGTGACATACGCTTCGACAATCATGTATCTTTCGATACATAACTGACGAAGTATATTTTTTCCCCGCAGTAGGTTTCTTCGCAGAAAGCCTCGGTAGACCAGTTGCCATCCAAGGCTATAGAACCCGGTCTGTTCTGCTACTTAACCATAGCTTTGTGTAAGAAAAGGATTTATACCT